CCTCTGCCTCATGGGTTCAGGTGATTATCCTGCCTTAGCCTCCCCAGTAGCTGGGATTACACGCATGCGCCACCACGCCCAGATAATTTTATATTTTTAATAGAGATGAGGTTTCTTCATGTTGGTCAGGCAGGTCTCAAACTCCTAACGTCAGGTGATCCACCCACCTCAGCCTCCCAAAGTGCTGGGATTATAGGTGTGAGCCACTGCACCCGGCCTCTTTTTCCAGTTTTATGAATTTGCTTTTATAAGAAAAAACTTTTCCCTACAGATGTATCTATAATGTTGGTTGGGTAGGATGCTTTGGCTTTGATTCTTGGTGGGTGCAATAGCATAGCTTCCATATGATTTCTATGGTTATGATCAGTGTCAGTGCCATCTGTGAGTTCCTCAGTGTTTTGGGTTGTGGTTAATAAAGGCTGTGGCAAGGCTTTCTGGGGATGGGGATGCCAGGAGGTCCAGTCCTCAGGCACCAGTGGTAGTGTCAGTGGCCCAAGCATCACAGCTGGCTGGCATACATGGGCACTAGTAGTGGTAGGCATGGGTGGACCATTCCTCGGGGTTCCAGGCAGCTTGCTTGGGTCCCAATGGTGGCAGTGGTGTGGCAGGTAGGTGGATGGATCCTCAGGCTACTGAGTAGTACACATGGCATCAGTGGTGGCAGCAGTGATGGCAAGCTAACCCTCAGGCCCCTGAGAAGTATGTGTGGTGTGCCATTGGTGGCAGTGTTGGACTGTGTTGGCCAGTCCCCATGCCCTCAAGTGGCACCTGTGGGTGGATGCTGGTGGTGGTGACTGCAGGCTGGGTGAGCCAATTCCTGGGTCCCCAAGAGGTGTGCATGGGCACCAAGTGGCAGGCAGAATTGGCCTATCCCCAGGACCCCAGACAGTACATAAGGGCAGTGGTGGTGAATGGGATGGGACTGTCATTAGGTTCCCGGAAAGGCATAAGAAAATGCTGGCAGTGGTAGATGGGGTGGGTCAATCCCTAGGCCCCTGGATGACACTTATGGGCGCTGGCAGTGGCAGTAGTGCGTGAGGCAGGTCTGTCCTCAGGCCTCTGGATCATGCATGTGGGTACCTGGGGTAGTGAGGAGTATGGGTTGATCCCCACGCTCCCAGATGACATGTACAAATGCTGGCAGAGGCAGGCAGGATGTGTTTAGCATCAGGTCCCCTGAGGGCCTGTCCTCAGGCCCTCAGAAGACACATGCGGGCATAGGTGGCAGGGGGTGGTGTGGACTCATCCTCAGGCCCCAGAACAGAGCCCGAGGAAGGCAGTCTCCAGGCCTCTGAAGGTTTGTGCAGCCTTAGTGTTGTAAGGAATGGCATTGCTGTCAGTGGCAGTGGCCCTGAACAGGTGGCTCTCAGGCTGTGGGGAGCACATGCTTCAGCTTCCTTTATCCTGGGGCCATCCTCACTCATGCACTGTACTGCCCATGCCCTGGGGTATAGGATACTGCATGGGCTGGAAGGCTAGAGACCCAACAGCACTGCTGGGTCCTGCCAGTGTCAAGATGCTACAGCCCTCTGGGTGGACATGGGGGGATGCCAGCTGAGACTTCAGGAATGTAATCTGGCATGGACTGCGCACTCAACATCGTACCATGCTGCAGCTGCTTGGGCTTCAGGGAGTGCGTGAGACCCAGCAAGAACTCTCCCTCCGGAACAGTCCTGTCATGTTGACTCCAGACGGCTACCTATACTAGTCTCAGGGCCCATTAGGGCCAAGGGAATTTCTTGTGGCTAGGATTGCAGCAGTTAATAGTGGGAATTTGGACATTTGGAGACCTCTCACTTACCTTTTCCCCAGAATGGAGATGTCTTCCTGGCTCCAAGCAGATCCCAGCTGGGCTGGCTGCTTCATTTCCCTCTCCTTGCATGCCTCAGAGGTTCCCTGTCACTTCCCTGCTGAATTCCACTGTTCTCTCTCAGGAAATCTGTTCATCATGTAATTATCTGCTTACTGTTTTGGTACTGTTTTGTGGAGGAGGCAAGTGCCAGGCTCTTCTAGTCAGCCATCTTGAAGCCTCCCCCATCCAGGAATAGCTTTTTAGTGTTTACTCTCGGTGTTACATATTATATATGTACAATTTATCACAGTTTACTCATATTGACAACTGACTATTCAAATAAAGTTTAAAAACCATGCTTTTTGTTTATATCTGTTCAACCTCCCCTGTTTTAAATGTAATTGTGTTAAATCTTTCCTCTATACACCTTTGGAAGCACATCAGGCAGCGAGACACCATCCTGGGTGGGCCTGACAAAATCAGAGGAGCCTTTACAAGAAGCATCAGATAGGCTGGGCTCATGGCAGCTCACACCTACAATCCCAGCACTTTGGGAGGCTGAGGCATGCGGATCACCTGAGGCCGGGAGTTTGAGACCAGCCTGGCCAACACAGCAAAACCCTGCCTCTACTAAAAATACAAAAATTTAGCCAGGCATAGTGGCACACACCTGTAATCTCAGCTACTCAGGAGGCTGAGGCAGGAAAATCTCTTGAATCTGGGAGGTGAATGTTGGAGTGAGCCAAGATTGTACCACTGTACTCCAGCCTGGACAACAGAGTGAGACTCCATCAAAAAAAAAAAAAAAAAAGAAGAAGAAGGAAGGAAGGAAGGAGGAAAGGAAGGAAGGGAGGGAGGGACAGAGGGAGGGAGGGAAGGAAAATAAAACCGGGACCTTCATTCTGCAACTACAAGAAAGTGGATTCTATAAAGAATTGAATGATGTGGTAGAGGACTCCAAGCCTCAGATGAGAATCACAACCCTGGCCACACCCTGATTTCAACTTGGTGAGTCCCTGAGCAGAGGAACCAGCTAACCCATACCTGGACTCCTCACCCACAGAAAGTCTGAGACAAATTTTGTGTTGTTTTAAGTTGCTAAATTTGTAGCAATTTGTTATGCAGTAATAGTAAACTAATCTTCATGGTATCAAGTCACAGAAAATTAAAAAAAAAATAGAAAACTAATACATGGTTCTTGCTTTAGAGCTTTTTTAGATGGGACTAGAGTAGCTTTGAGTCTAGAGCTAATTTTGTCCCACTGTTTAGGCAAGACCTTTTTACCCAATATTCTGAGTTATGGGGTTTTCCACTCTGACTATTGGAACAAGAACTATTTCCACTAATGTATTTAGTTGTGAGAATTATTCCCTCTAATTTTTTTGTTTCTCTTTCCCCAGCCTCAGGTAGTTTCTGTACACCATGTGTTGTTCTGTGCTAAGCTGAAGACTCCAGGGGAAATCTCTTCAGGTCTCTGGAGTTCTTTCTCTGTCTCTCTTTTATTTATTTATTTATTATTTTTATTTTTATTCAGTCTCCGTAGAGACTGTCAAAAATTGCCAGTGCTGATTGTATTTCAAGTCATCATGGTGGGGTATTGGGAAAAGTTTTCAATTAGCAATAATTGCACCTGGGATGAATCTCATTGGCTACGATACTGCCATTGAGCAAAGCTTTTTTTTTTTTTTTTTTGGAATGGGGTCTTCCTCTGTTGCCCAGGCTGGAATGCAGTGGCTTGATTTTGACTCACTGCAACCACCACCTCCTGGGTTCAAGTGATTTTCCTGCCTCAGACTCCCGAGTAGCTGGGGTTACATGTACCCACCAGAACACCTGGCTAATTTTTGTGCTTTACTTAGTAGAGACGGGATTTCACTGTGTTGGCCAGGCTGGTCTTGAACTCCTGACTTCTTCTTCTTTTTTTTTTTTTTAATAGAGATAATCATTATCTCTTCCCTTCATTTTTCTTTTTCTCTTCTTTTCTTTCTCTATTTTTTGTTTGTTTTTTGTTTTGAGACAGAGCCTCACTTTGTCGCCCAGGCTGGAATACAGTGGCACAATTTTGGCTCACTGCAACCTCCACCTCTTGGGTTCGAGCAATTATGCTTCAGCCTCCCGAGTAGCTGGGATTACAAGTGCTTGCCACCACACCTGGCTGATTTTTGTATTTTTAGTAGAGGTGAAGTTTTGACAAATTGCCCAGGTTGGTCTCGAACTCCTGGCCTCAAGTGATCCACCCACCTCAGCCTCCCAAAGTGCTGGGATTTGGGTGTGAACCATTGTGCCCTGGAGTTCTTCTCTTTGTAGCACCAGTACTTTTCCTTGTAGACTCTAGCAATCCTGGCCTCCTGAGACCTTCAGATCAGGGGGTCTTCTCCACTCAAGAAGACCAATGGGCTTTATCTAAGTTCCCTCATCCCGAGCCATGGCCAGGAAACTCTCTCTAGGTAAACTGAGACAATCATAGGGCTCATTTTAGTTGTTTTGCATCTTGCATCCATCACTGTCCTTTGTTACCTGTTTCTAATATCTTCAAACCATTGTTTCATATATTTTGTCTGTTTTTCTTTCAGTCATTTCAGGTGGGAGGATAAATCTGTTTTCTATTACTCCATCTTGGCTGGAATCAGAATTCCAGTGCCATACTAAGTACTTTTAAATCTTCTTTTCTTTGCTTATACTGTTCTCCCTTCTAGAATATCCACTTGGTGAACTTTTCTTAAGGTCCCAAGGCCAGGTCAAATGTTACCTCCTCTATATAGCCTAATCCTAATCTCTAGGAAGAAATAACCATTTCCTTCTTTGTGCTCCCATGGAATTTATTGTATTATATTTCTACTATAATATGTGTCACATTTTATCCCAATTGATTTATTAAGCTGTCTGACTTCCCTGTTGGAATGTGAAGGAAAATGGATTTCTATTCTGTTGACATTGTATAGATCTCAACAAATCAGACCCGTGCTAAAACTGGGGCTACACAATGATGAAAAGATATGTTTCCTACTGTATTAGTCAGGGTTCTTCAGAGAAACAGCACCAATAGAATGTATCTTTGTGAGTGCATTTATGAAGAAATGTATTATACGGAATTGGCTTATGTAATTATGGGCACTGAGAAGTCCCATGATCTACCATCTGCCAGCTGGAAACCCAGGAGAGCCAGTGGTGTAATTCAAAGATCCTGAGTGCCAGTAAGATGATGGTATAGATTCCAGACCAGATTCAAAGGCCTGAGAATCAGTCGCACTGATGGCAGCAGAAGATCTATGTCCTAGCCTAAGAAGTCAGGCAGAGAGTGAATTCAACCTTCCTCCACAATTTTGTCCTATTAGGTCCTCAACAGATTAGCTGATACCCACCCACATTGGGGAAGGTCATCTGCTTCGCCCACTTATTCCAATGCTAATCTCTCCAGATATACCCTCATACACACCCAGAAATAATGTTTAATCAGCTATCTGGGCATCTCTTATCCCAGTTAAGCCATCAAATAAAATTAACCATGAATAGACTAGGGAGAGAGCATCCTTTTAGGCCAGTAAGTCATCATAATGTCATAAGAGAGAAGTCTGTATGAGATCTGTGCATCATGTGTAGAAAGAAACATAACAAAATAAAGGAGTCTGCCAAAGCATCACAGACCTGTTATTGTTCCATATAAAAATTGAGGGCTGAGTAGGAATCTAAAGTAGGAAGATATAGGTAAAAGGCTGGCTAAAAGAAATTTTACTTGAGTAAACAATGGGTGGAAATACAGGTAGATACAGAGAACATGGTGTGTTTGAGGAAGGGCAATTAATTTTAGCATGGCTATTTCAATGCAGTTTTCTTTATTCATTTGCATGTGTAAATGGTCAGAAAAACTAAACCGAAGTCACTTCATCCCTTAATATTTATTGAGTGCCTACTCCATGCCATGTTCTGCTAAATTCCCAGGCTGCAATGATGCATAAAACGAGGTCCAGTCCCTGCTCCTATGTAACTAATCGTCAACATCAATTGCTGAAGGCCCAATATAGATGGCATATGTAGAATAAAATAGCATCCAATTATTAAGGCAGACCAAGTAAGTTCTTATGATGAAAACAAGTGAGGCAAACATTCCAGATGAAACTTTTTCAGCACGCTATTCGTCCACTTCTCATCATGAGTGACCTAGGCATCTGCTCTGTGCTCAGGGAATGCAATCTAATGCTAATATTAGCTACATCAACACATAGAAATGAAAGGCAGAAGGAAGGAAGAAAAAAAGGAAGGAAGGCAAAACTGCTGCCCCCAAAAGATATCAAAAATATTTTTATTCTACCTCCTGTTTTTGTATTACGCATTTTTATTAGCTCATTATATTTAGGTTAGTTAAATGCTGGCCTAGAGTGATACTGAACAAGCTGTTTATATCACAGCACTTTCTCTTCTATCTATACAGACCTGCATTCATGGAAAGGGGATTTCTTACAGAAAGTTATTTGTGATGTAGCTAAGTTATCCTAAAGTAAACAAATCTGAAAGAATAAGGGACTGACAATGATCTGCTGTGCCCTGTTACTAAAGAATTGCTGTTATCTAAGCATTGTATGTGCATTTCAAATACTCTCAGGAGGAGTTTGTTTTTTGTTTTTGTTGTTGTTGCTGTTTAGAGTCAGGGTTTCACTATATTGCCTAGGCTGGTCTCGACCTCCTGGGCCAAAATGATCCTCGAACTCCCAAAGTGCTAGGATTGCAGGCATGAGCCACGACACCCAGACTTGTATATCATTTTTAAAGGGGGAAGAGGGATTTTGATACTTTCTGTCCTCATCTCAGTGAGATGCCTTTTTTTTTTTTTTTTTGGTCTAATGTATTCTTCCTCAAAAGGGCAGAATCTAAGTCAGATGCAGTGCAAGAGAAGGGGTTAGTCTGTTCTATAAACTGTTAGAGAGATTTAAAAAATAGGCAATCTAATTGACTCATGCATGGCTCACAGCCATATAAATGCTTGCAAAATTGCTTCCTGCACAGTAATAGTGACCACAGAGAAGCAGAAGTAAAATGGAAGCAAGTGAGATGAGAGCTCTTAGGAAATCTTTAGCAGGACTTTCAAACTTTTGTTAAAACTTTTGTTTAACCTTGTGGAAAACTGTCCTTTAGAAAATTAAATGCTCTTTCAACAAGCATACTGCAAGTCAAAATTCACATAATTTGCCTACAAAATAAGACCTCATTGGTAGCAAATTTCATTTCTAGAAATATAATGTCTTTCAGAATCAACTGAAGAGAAGCAATTTTTTTTTCAAGGACTGTGGCTACATTGTTACTAGGAGATTTGTAATCTGCTTTAAACATGTTACTAGGAAAGAAGTTAACATAACTACTAAGTTTGTTGTTTACATTTAATTAAGGGTATTACTTAAAATGTATTTGGATGTTTGAGCTGTTAACAATATACACATTTATAACTTTCTTCATATTCATTTTTAACAAAATCTTTCTTTTGCTATCTTTTTCAAGACTGCCTGTCCTTATATTGATTGGCTTTACCTGTGATTTATTTCCTGGGGTCTCCTTATTATGCTTTGCTGAAACTAATTTATTATTAAACTGATTTTGTTTTTGTTGCTATTGTTGTTTTATTTTATTTATTTATTTAGAGATGGAGTCTCACTCTGTTGCCCAGGCCGGAGTGCAGTGGAGCCATCTCTGCTCACTGCAACCTCTGCCTCCCGGGTGCAAGAAATTCTCTGCCTCAGCCTCCCGAGTAGCTGAGATTACAGGTGCCCACCACCACACCTGGCCAATTTTTGTATTTTTAGTAGAGATGGGGTTTCACCATCTTGACCAGGCTGGTCTTGAACTCCAGAACTCATGATCTGCTGGCCTCGGCCTCCCGAAGTGCTGGGATTACAGGCGTGAGCCACCGCGTCCCGCCCTATTTTATTTTTTTAAGACAAGTTCTCACTCTGTCACTCAGGCTGGTGTGCAGTGACACCATTTTGGCTCTCTACAACCTCTGCCCCCCAGGCTCAATCAATCCTCCCACCTTAGCGCCTTGATTAGCTGCTGGAACCACAGGCAGGCACCACCAAGCCCAACTTTTTTTTTTTTTTTTTTTTTTTTAGTAGAGATCTGGGAGCCGGGCGGCGGGGGGTGGTGTTTCACCATGTTGCTCAAGCTGGTCTCGAACTCCTGAGCTCAAGTGATCCACCTGCCTCAGCCTCCCAAAGTGCTGGGATTATACGCGTGAACCACCATGCCCCCCAGATTTAAGCAATTCTCCTGCCTCAGCCTCCTGAGTAGCTGGGACTGCAGGTGCTCACCGCCACACCCAGCTATTTTTTTATATTTTAGTAGAGACAGGTTTTCACCGTGTTGCCCAGGCTGGTTGTGAACTCCTGAGCTCAGTCAATACGCCTGCCTCCGCCTCCCAAAGTGCTGGGATTACAGGCCTGAGCCACCGGGCTCATCCAGTGATTTTATTTTTGGTCTTTTGTGGTTTACTTATGAAACTTTAAAACATTTTCTGCATGTGTTTATGTGACTACTAAATTATGACATCAACTGATAAAAGAGTTAAACCATTCTAAGAGAATAGAAGTTTGATTTTAGTCCGTATTTAAGTTCTCTTAATTCCATCATTAAAATTGTGTGTGTGTGTGTGTGCACATGTGTAAATGTGTGTAAATATACATACAAAGC